TGAGGGCACCTGCTCGATCCTTCTAGAGTCAGAGCACTACCAAGGCCACGTCGCGTTTAGCTCACAAACCATGCCATTCTAACAGACCAGCAGTTGAAGCCTATGAACCATTGCCATACTAACTAACATGTCTGCCATGTTTCTTCTTAGGCTCACCCCAAGGACGTTGAGTTCCTCAACACCCCTATCCAGAACTACCACCAAATGCAGCATATCTTCTCCTTCGGGCTGCCAACCGGCAAGCATGCCATGGGCTCTGGTCAGCCGCTTGGCTCGCCGATGTCGGCGTATCCAGACACCAAGAGTCAGACACCATCAACGTTGATGCTCCTGAGAAGGATGATGAGCATGTTCTTGTGCTTGATAGGAAGAGGAAGCGGGCAGGCTTCATGGAGGAGGAGCTGAGCGTCTTCACCAGCATGACTGAGGCAGTGAAGGAGGTGGCCACCGCCATCAGTGAGAGCAAGAGTGTGGACGTCGTCCACCCTAAGCTCTACAACGCCATTATGGATCAGATTGGCTTCAGCCTAGAGGCTCTCATGGTGGCTCTCAACCACCTGCTGGACAACAAAGACCAGGGTGTTGGGTTTGTTGCCATGGGAGCAGACCACAGGGTGCTCTGGCTGAGTGTTGGGGAATGTTGCAGAAAACAAAAAAAATTCCTACGGTTTCACCAAGATCCATCTAGGAGTTCATCTAGCAACGAGTGATTGGATTGCATCTACATACCTTTGTAGATCACGCGCGGAAGCGTTCAAAGAACGGGGATGAGGAAGGCGTACTCGACGTGATCCAAATCACCGGAGATCCTAGCGCCGAACGGACGGCACCTTCGCGTTCAACACACGTACGGTCAGCGTGACGTCTCCTTCTTCTTGATCCAGCAAGAGGGAAGGAGAGGTTGAGAAAGATGGCTCCAGCAGCAGCACGACGGCGTGGTGGTGGTGGAACTGCAATACTCCGGCAGGGCTTCGCCAAGCACTATGGAGGAGGAGGATGTGTTGGAGAGGGAGAGGGAGGCACCAAAGATGATGTTATGAGAGGCCCTCCTTTCCCCACTATATATAGGGAGTCCAAGGGGGGGCGCCGGCCCTAGGAGATCCAATCTCCTAGGGGTGCGGCCAAGGGAGGAATCCCTCCTCCCCAAGGCACCTAGGAGGTGCCTTCCCCTTTTGGGACTCTTCCCTTCTTGAACCCTAGGCGCATGGGCCTCTTGGGGCTGGTGCCCTTGGCCCATATAGGCCAAGGCGCACCCCCTACAGCCCATGTGGCCCCCCGGGGCAGGTGGCCCCACCCGGTGGACCCCCGGGACCCTTCCGGTGGTCCCGGTACAATACCGGTGACCCCGAAACTTGTCCCGATGCCCGAAATAGCACTTCCTATATATAATTCTTTACCTCCGGACCATTCCGGAACTCCTAGTGACGTCCGGGATCTCATTCGGGACTCCGAACAACATTCGGGTTACTACATATACATATCCCTACAACCCTAGCGTCACCGAACCTTAAGTGTGTAGACCCTACGGGTTCGGGAGACATGTAGACATGACCGAGACGACTCTCCGGCCAATAACCAACAGCGGGATCTGGATACCCATGTTGGCTCCCACATGCTCCTCGATGATCTCATCGGATGAACCACGATGTCGAGGATTCAAGCAACCCCGTATACAATTCCCTTCGTCAATCGGTATGTTACTTGCTCGAGATCCGACCGTCGGTATCCCAATACCTCATTCAATCTCGTTACCGGCAAGTCACTTTACTCGTACCGTAATGCATGTCCCGTGACCAGACACTTGGTCACTTTGAGCTCATTATGATGATGCATTACCGAGTGGGCCCAGCGATACCTCTCCGTCGTATGGAGTGACAAATCCCAGTCTTGATCCGTGTCAACCCAACAGACACTTTCGGAGATACCCGTAGTATACCTTTATAGTCACCCAGTTACGTTGTGACGTTTGGTACACCCAAAGCACTCCTACGGTATCCGGGAGTTACACGATCTCATGGTCTAAGGAAAAGATACTTGACATTGGAAAACTCTAGCAAACGAACTATACGATCTTATGTTATGTTTAGGATTGGGTCTTGTCCATCACATAATTCTCCTAATGATGTGATCTCGTTATCAATGACATCCAATGTCCATAGTCAGGAAACCATGACTATCTGTTGATCAACGAGCTAGTCAACTAGAGGCTTACTAGGGACATGTTGGTGTCTATTATTCACACATGTATTACGATTTCCGGATAACACAATTATAGCATGAATAAAGGACAATTATCATGAACAAGGAAATATAAGAATAATGCTTTTATTATTGCCTCTAGGGCATATTTCCAACACTGAGGACCTGGCTGGCAAGCACTACTACTAGTGCTGCTTCTGATGGTGGCGACGACATGCATGATCCTTGACGGCGATGGCGACAAGGACGACGACGACTAGGACAACGTATATTTTATGTAGTTAGGGCTTGAAAACAATCTTATGGTGTGTATATTTTGGTGAGGTGATATATACTAAGCCCTCATGGTGATCCTCACGGTGATCACGAACTTTCGGTGGTAGGATGACACCCTCTTTTGGAGGTGGTGGTAGGATGACACCAAAGTAGTGCTAGGTTGAACTTACTATGATCATGCATGCTTACTAATGCTCTTCTGCTCCATTGCTTGCTCCTAGAGTTCTTCGTTGCTTGATGTTTGTGTGTTCCAATGCTTGTTGCTTGAACTTATTGCTCGTTTGCACTGCCAGGGCAAGTGGTATGTGGTGTTCGAAGGTAGGGTTCCAGGGGTTTACAGTTCATGGGAAGCTTGCGACAAACAAGTTTTGGGGTACAACAACAACAACCACAGAGGAGGGTTTAAGACTAGGCACGCGGCAGAATATGCTTACTCCAAGTATGTGCGGGAGCATTCATGCAGCAAGGTTGAGGTTGGCAAGAAGGTGGATCGACTGTTAGGGCTGAAGAACTTCATCATCTTCGTCCAGTTTGTCGTCATAGAAGTGTTGTGGCGTTGGCGTGCTTGGTGTGATCATGTGTAAGTTGTTGGTAAGCTCACCAAGTAGGGTACAAGGTGAGCACAACTCTATACTCGTATGTAACCAAATGTCATGCACCCGTGTGAGCATATACAATGCGAGCAACAAAACACGATGCGTAGAGGCATCGTTACGATGCAAGAAGAGGACATGCATGCAACCAAACTAAGTGCAGATGTTAGTTTTTGGTCTGCATTTGCTCAGCCAGGCCCAACTGGGCCAAATATGCAAATGGGCAAAAAACCATGCAGGTAACCAAACACGTCCTCAGACATCACAAAAGCTTTTGTTTTGGTGTCCTTGAAGTACCTGCCAGATTGGCTGCAAAGGATGGGGTTCATCGTGTGGTGGCGAGACTGGATCGCGGCACTCCACTTAACCTCCTCCTCCTCGTGCCAGTTCAACGGCGTGCTAGGTGCGAAGATGGATCACCATCGTGGCCCGCAACAGGGTGACCTTCTGTCTCTACTGCTATTCATCCTTGCGATCGACCCTTTGCACCGCTTGATCACCATGATCACGGACAAGAGCATCCTCGCATCGCTTCCCGGCAAAAAGCTCAAGCTGTGCGTCAGTTTTTACGTTGACGACACACTCATCTTCGCAAACCCTGACAGACAAGAAATCGACAAGCTGCTACAGATTCTGAAACAGTTTGGCGACACCTCGGAACAGACGTAGCTCCGAGGTGCCGCATCGGTCTGTCGCGTGATTCTACAGTTTCTTTGGCTTTTCAGTTTTTCGCTTTCCTCAGTTTTCAGTCTGAGCCTGAACCCCAACCCCATAATAGTTTAATCATGTCGGTTTGTTTTCCCGCCATTTATCTACTATTTTCTCCGTCCCATAATGTAAGATGTTTTTTGACACTAATATAGTATCAAAAAACGTCCTACATTAGGAGACGGAGAGAGTAATATTGAAAGCTAGCGCTTGCTTGATCTCTGTAAAAAAAAACTCATACTTATACTAGTCCAGGAAAGAATCTTGTCCTGGCAATAGAGTCCTGCGAGTATATTTCTGTCCGCAATGGACACGATTGAGATGACGCTCGCTGCAGCAAGGCGTCGGACCTTTGGGTCTGCGCCATCCCCTCTCGATTGGATGTCCCCGGTCAATTCCTGAGGCAGATAAACACGTCGCTCTGCTTTTTGGCATCTTTCACGAGCAAAGCCCGCCCGTCGTCGTCTACAGGCCGGGGCCGGGGCCGGCAGGCACTGCCGGCGGGACAAGACAAGAAGCACGCAGCGCCTGAGATTTCACTCGCCGGACCGGTGTTTCTGTGAGTTGGACGAGGTGCTGCACGCTGCCACTTTCGGCACCAAAGTATAAAAGCGCAGCCGCCCCGATTCCGGCGAACGTACGTACGCACCGTGGTTGCAGCCCCGGTCACTGCCACCTCTAACATCGGTATGCTGCGTCGGCTTCTCCAAGGCATCGCTGCGTCACGGATTACGACAGAGACAGCACTCGGCTCAGCCGATGTAATACTACTATCTCCTTGCGTCGTCTCTTCCGCCGACGCGCCCATGCAACGCCACGCGAGGCGCCTCTCCACCGCTCCATCTACACAACACCGTAGGCATCGGCGCACGTCCCAGGTTCAGTAGTACTAGTACATGGCATATAGTAAGTGGCAAAGGTTCAGTGCATGCTAGCATTGAAAATGTCCTACGTCGTGGCATGCATGCATGCATGCACGTCAAAGAGTCTCACATTGCGGCAAAATTGTCGGCACCTCCCACAAGTTAAGGCGCCAACCATGCAACGAACATGCATCGCAGCCCACCCTCGCATCGCAGGGGTCGCCCGATCACAACACCGCCTCCCCCGCAAGCTTTATCATCTGTCCTCTTGCACCACCGTGCATGTGGGCATGTTGCCCTAGCTAGCTAGTACCTACTACGAGTACGTCCGTGCGTTGCGTGCTACGCTAATCTCACTGGGTCAGTCGTTCCAGAGCGCGAACACCGGGAGCGGGTGCGCGCTGGGGACGCCGGCCACCGGCCGCGCCGCGGCGGCCATCCAGCTCCCGCCGCCGTTGCTGCCCTCGCCGGCCTCGTACTTCATGGCGTGCGCGTACTGGAGCCCGTGCAGCAGGTGCGCGCCGCGGTGGCCGTCCGAGGCGTCGGAGCTGTTGTCGGACGCGCCGGCCTCGGGGCGCTCGACGGCGACGCTCACGCCGCTGGGCAGCGCCGGCGCGTCGCGCGTCGGGGAGCGCCTGCAGGCGAGGTCCCCGCCGATGAGGTGCGAGCTGGCGCAGATGCGCTTCACGTCGTACTTGCTGATGTCGAAGTTGGTGACGGCGCTCAGCCCGCGGAACTTGATCGCCGCGATGTCGTACGCCTCCGCCGCCTCCTCCTGCGTACCTACGACGATTTTCAACTAGACATGAGACATCTACTGCCACCTAACCATGCACAAATGACAAAAAAGAACAAGTAAAAAACAAGATTACAGTTAGATTAGCAACAGTTGGATGACTGTTAAGGCCTCCTTTGGTTTAGAGGAATTTCATAGGAATTCTAGAGGATAGGATTTTTATAGGATTTTTTCCTTTAGAGCCATTTGGTTCATAGGAATGGATTCCTATTCCTACATAGGATTGGTTCATATCCTCCACATTTCGTAGGAAAATAAAAAAGAGCCTAGACTCAATGGAAAATTTCCTTTGGTGTCAACCAAATGACATCTTGTTTCCTATTCCTACTCATAGGATTTGAGATACATGTCATCTCATTTCCTACAAGATTTCTATTCCTATGATAATCCTATCCTATGAACCAAAAGAGGCCTAAGACTTGGAACTTGGAGTGAATTAACCATGTGCGCGTGTACAAGAGTAAGAAAACAAAAACTTACTGAAGGTGCCAAGGTACAGGTCCTTGTTCCCTGCCACCCTCCCAATCCTGGCCTGCCATCTGCCGTGCTGGTGATGCCTGGGGAAAGCAAGCGCAACAAGAAAAGATCACACACAGTGCCACAGGCTGGCAAGTCGATGCGTGTGTGTTTCTGCGTGCCTGTCTGTGTGTGACTTGTGACAGTGAGTGAGATGGACTATACTAGTAGAGCTGAGAAGAGAGCTGGTTTTGGGGTGGTGGAAAAGCCTGCGGATGGGGGTAAAAATGGGGCACCTGGTCACTCCTCTGTACATGGATGCTCCCCTCGAGAACCCACTGCTGTTCCTGCAAAGAACAAAATTTAACTCGGAAGTTGTAAGCCTTGGTGAGCGCGCCAGATGTTTTTCACCCTTTTGGATGCACATGTATACGTGAAAGTGTGGGCACAGATTACACAGTTGTACTCTACGAGAAATTTTGTCTCTAGTGATGCTTAAGATGTTCATCAGATTTTGCCATGGTTTTGTTCCAGTATATGCTAGTAACAATTTTATAAATGATCTATGGTAGTAGTAGTTCTTGGCAACGGTAATAATGGTTGGCACTGCATCACTGATGGTGCACTGTAGTTAAACACTCCTAGAGAGATAAAAACAGGAAGCCAAGAAAGAATTACTACTGGAGGCTACTGACGCACCTTCTTAAGTGCGCAATGAACTCCTGCCTTGTCATGTGCTTCATCTCCTCCAGCTCCTTCTCATAGGTGCTTAACTACATGTGACAAAACCCAGCACATCCATCAAAGAGACATTCAAAACATCTGCTGTAGTACTAACCACTTTAATCAATAGCAAGTTAAAGGGGGGAAGGAATGATCCATGGTACTACGACTAGGCCGGCCCCTACACACCACATCCCCTGGGCTTTTAACAGCAAAGCTGTAAACGTACCGGGAAATTTATGTGGGTCGCCGGACCCCAGTACTTGAGCGCGGCCAGGTCGTAAGCCCTCGCGGCCTTCTCCTCCTTGTCATAGCCACCTTCAAAGCTCAAACCCAACCATGATCAGCAACAATGGACAGCAAGACCACTGGAGAAGTTAAGGAGGGTGTAGCAATGGCTTACCTAGGTAAACTGCTCGATCGTTGCATTCGGCAGATTCGGGAACGAACATGCATGGAAGTTGATGTCAGTACGAAGTTACAAAGGCAGAAATGTGTTTGTGGTTCTTGATCCGATCAGGAGGAGCTCACCTTGCCTTCCTTTCCTGGTCTGGCCTTCCTTCCTGCAGGTGTTGTCCCACAGGTGAGCCTCGTACCTCCCCGTCCACCTGTGCCTGCGAATCAACGCACGAACCAAGCTTGAATCCATGAACGTGCAAACGATGCAAAGCTTGAGCACGCAAGAGCAAGACCAACCTCGTGACGCCGCGGAACTGCGACGTCCTCTGCCCGAAGGTCTGCGCGAGCTTGCGAGGGACGGGGACGCACGGCGCCGGCAGCGGCGGCTCGCTCGGGGCGGCGTGCACGGAGGGGGGGATCGCCGACGTCGACTGCTCGGGCACGTACATCGACTGCCGGAGCCAGGACTTGATGCCAGAGATGGACATGTTGGCGCTGCCGTCGAAGCCCGCCGCGGAGCTGTACATTGGCGCCGCCGCCATCGCGCCCGCGCCTGCAGCTTGTTGGTTCGGCGGGCACAGCGAGTACTGGCCATGGTGCGCGGGCATGAAGTGGTGGTCCGGGAGGCCGGTGCAGTGTGACGGCGGCGGCGCGTTGTTGATGTCCAGCCCGATGACGACGCCACCACCGCCATTGCCCTGGAAGTAGGGCGAGCCTGGATAGGCGTGGTGGACGTCCTGGTGGTGGTGGTACTTGAGCTGGTCGGCGTGGCTGGCGTCGTAGATGCTGCCGCTGCTCCTGTCGTTGCCGTAGCCGACGCTCAGGAAGTCCTCCAGCTTGGGGCCTTTGGCTTCTGCATGCTGATGCCTCCAATCTGTAGAAAAGTTAGACCAAAGATTCTGATCAAACACAAGCTCAAGGCTTTGTTGAGAGACACCAGAACTTCCAACAACACCAGCGAGCTGTCGAACAAGGTTAACATATGTAGTTTTCATTCTAGCGTTAGTTAGACTTGGATATATAGGAGTAGTAGAATTCTAATACGCAGAGTAAAAAGGACCGGAGGAGTACATGACAGGAAAAAACATGAGCATGCAAGCAATGATCCGAACTAGCTAAGCATAGCCTTCCTGAACTCGTGTTGCATGCGATTGGTTAGTTACCTTGTCCATCGTACTGCACAGAGCCGCCGCCAGAGTGCAACGGCACGCCCACGATGGGCGAAGAAGGCGCCGCCGCCGCGGTGGGCGACGAGCAAGAGCCACCGTCACCGCCATCGCACCCCGCTCCCTCGCCGGCGTCGTAGCCCCTGGCGGCGGAAGAGGAGGAAGACAAGGAGAAGCCGAGCCAGCCGCTGGTCATGTCCATCGATCTCCTCCTCCACTTCTCCCCCAACGCACAGAACCAAAAAGCTTAGGAGGAGGAGGAGAAAAGGAAACGAAAGAGGAACCAAAAGAGCCCGATCGATCTTTTGCCGGCCGGCCGGAGTGCGTGTGACTTGCAAGCAAGGGAGATAGGGAGGGCGGGGGGCTATCTATCTAGATTGGTGCTCGGGCTACGAGAAGACGGGAGCCCCCCGCCCCTTTTCGACGTTTATATATACGCAGGAGCTATATTTGGGCACCGGTGCAGCGTAGGGTGGTGGAATGATCGGTCGATGTGAGTGAATGCGGTACTACTAGTGTAGCGTAGCGTAGAGTAGAGTAGAGTAGAGTAGCAAGGGGAAGGAAACCAAGTCTTGGTGTGCAACTTTGGGCTGGCTGGCTGGCTGGCTCGTGCATTGCATGTACGTACGTATGCGAGTGTGGTCCGGAGTTTTCCTTCTGCGTTGGGGTCCGTGCCGCCATAGATACGTCTTGCAGCGTGGCGGCGCGCGGATGGGGCCTGGCGAGCGTGAATGTGTGAATACGAGTGAGAGGTTACAGTATTTTATTAGTGTTGGTGTTTGTTCTCTCACTCACGGGGGGTCAGAGGGTCGTCACATGCACGCGGGAATTGCGTGGTGTCTTCTCAGGTGGTTCGGTGACCGACCCAAAGTCCAAAGATCATCAAGCCCGGACGGACAAATCAAACGTTTTTTTACGTGTGTGTGTGTATATCCACGACAAAACATGCATGGGATCAGTGCCCCCGCCCATATTTCATCGGTAATCGAACGCTTATTAACCACCCATCGATCGGTCGATGGATCTCTAAAACGTCACGTCCGATGCAAATATATTCTTTCTTTTTGGGCCCGGCCCCGGCGGGTGGATGGAGCTGACGTGGTTTTCAAACGGGCCGGGCCGCGACGGGTGATGACGACGCGGGACTGCACGCGGATCGAGCCCAGAAAGTGCGCGGCTCGATGCGCGCGCAGCACAGCGCTCACGTGAAGCGGCTCGTGTACGGACGGGCGGGGTGGCGATGGCGCGCGCACACGCACGCACGCCTCTCTTTGTCCGGCCAAGGCTGAAGGCTGCCCAAAGCGGCAGCGGCAACGGCGAGCCTCGGGGCGCGCACACGCACATCCTGTCGCGGAAAGCAAGCAAGCGCGATCCGTGAACAATGAGATCTCCGTCCGTCCGTCCACGGAGGAGGAAGATTCGATTGGATGGCCCGTGTGTGTCAGCGTGCCGAGCTTGGGCTTGGCTTGCCACATTTGGGACCCGGATTCGCTTGTACCTTGCCGCCTTTATTTGGTGCCGGACCAGGTGAGGCGAGGGGTCTCCGGCCTTGGATTTTTTTTCCTTGTGCATGAAAATCGACGCCAGGTCCTTTTCCCACTCATTTTTTTTGCTTGATCATGTCAGTCAGGGTGTATTGTGGCAGCCGATGAAGCGAGCAAAACCATGTATTTGCGGCCGAGGGAGCGTGGCGCGGGGGCCGATACGCGCAAGGAATTTGCTCTTTTCCACTGCGCGCGCACGCGCAGACACGGACGCGGCCGCAGCGCACACCTGGGCTTTTCTCAAAGCTTTCGCGGCTCCCAACCCAACCACGCGACGCAAGCGCAACGAGAGAACAAAAGGCCCGGCGACGCGCGCGCGCGCAAAGCCACGGGAACCGGGGGAGAGGGCCAGAGCCAGCCGGGGAGGGAGCCGCTACGATCGGCAAAGGCAAGCAAAACGAACGACCCGCGCCGGCCGATCGATCGAGTCCCCGCCGTGCTTGCACTGCATGCAGCCATCATGCACTGCCTTGGACTGCTCGTGAAAACCATGGCCGGCTCCATGCATGAGAGATGAAACGGGAAGGAGGAGAAGACCGATTCGATTCATCAGCACGTCTACGACTACGCCGTAGCCCCGAGCGCCCTACTAGAGGGGGATGCGTTGCGTGCGTGCGGGCGTGCTCCAGATAAGGCTGCGCACGTCGAGCCCGGACAAGGCGAGGGGGAGGCAGCGGTTTATCTCCCTCGGGAGATGTGCCATGTCACTCTGCCACCCATCCATCCGTCCATCTCTCTCTCTTTCGTCTCGTCGTTTTGTCATCTTGCGTGCAACCTCATGGGGAGTCACCTCCCCTCACCCTCAGCCTGCCTCTGCGGATTCCAAAGTAGGCTGCCCGCAGCAGCTCCCTAGTGCCAGCCAGGAGTAGCTGACGACGCATCCATTCCTCTCATTTCTTTCATTTCTTTGTTCGTTTTATTTATTTAGGTTTGAGTTGCAACGTGACAAAGGGGGGCCCGTCCCGAAAAGGGGGCGTGTCCTGGAGATTATTTTAGGGGACGGATCACGACTGCGGCATTGATTGATTGATTTGATTGACGATGGATGGATATCTGTGCAACTTGGGTTGGGCTTCCCGAGGAAGGAGGCAAGCACGCCAGCCAGCCAGCCAGCGTTCGGCCGCGGACTTGCTCGTCTGCTTACCTCAGCTCTACTCCCCCACGAGACCGCCGATGCGGAGCGACTTCAATGCGACCCGGCTCCGTGCAATTTCACTAATACCTCCGTTTCAGTTTACAAGTCCTGCACGTATAGTTAGGTTGTTAATTTTATCACCCTAATATAAACTATATAATACAAAAATTATACATTTTGAAAGTAGAAACTCCGAAGTTTATGTTGGTATATTTTTTGTAATATATGACTTGTATTAGGTTGGTCAAATTGATGACTTAAAGATACATGCACGTCCTCTAAACTAAGAGAGAGGTAGTATTAGCCGTCTGGGATCGAATAAGTCATGAAATGTTCTCCAAAAACAATCAAAAAACGTATCGGCGTCGGGCGAATCTACCGCGCAAAAATGTACACTATGGGGCTGTTTAGTTCCTACACACACCTTGACATATTTTATCATAGCTCAAGTTTGACCAAGTTAGGTGGGTGTTTACTTTAGTCACATCTAACATAATGAGCAGTGAACCTTACATGTTATAGACACAAATTGTGTGGCAAAATTTCTTTTGGCAAGTCAAAGTGTGACTAACAATTTAAACAATTCAAGTAAGACAAGTGTAGCAAATGTGCCAAAATTAATGTGGTACTACCTCCGTCCGGGTTTATTGGTCCCCATTGTATTCTGTGCCAAATTTTGACCATAGACTAAACTAACAAAATGTTCACGCATGTCATCAAACATTATATTTTTGAAAACTATGTTCAAATACGAATTCAATGAGATAATTTTTCTTGACATGCATTAATATTTTGTTAGTTAAATCTTTAGTCAAAATTTGGCACAAACTATAAAGAGGACCTATAAACCAGGACGGAGGTAGTAATATAGGTAAAGATAGTCACAATCCAAACAGCCCCTATATCTCAATCTCAATCCATGCACGGAGGTAAAAAGTTACTACCTCCATGTGCTAGGGTTGAACTACTACCTGCAAATATATATGGAATAAAAATAGACGCGTTTGGTTGCTTGCGATATCCTTACATACGGCAGTGGATGCAAAAAGTGTTTGGTTGTGTGCAACACCCTTCAACGGGGAAGTACGCGGGTGTGCATGACCAAAATGTTTGGCACAGGATGTCACAAAATCTAGTGGTAGGATAAATCTAGCCTCAGTTCTCAGCAACGACAGCGGTGGCGAATTAGATTTGTGAAACCGGCAGTGGTGGTGGTGGTGGCTTAAATCTGACGACCTGCTCTCTCCTCCGTGAGCTGCTTGTCCCCTCTGTCTCCGTCTCTGTCTTGTTTGCCACATCTGTGGCATCATACAAACACCCTCCACTATTAAGGTGTAGGGCCGATTTGGTCATGGATGAAGCTGGTACTTCAGACACAATATTCATAGATGTGATTCGGGTCTGGGTCATGTTGGTCCACAATAGAGCGGTTCGTCGCAATTCCAAGCCTATGATGCGTTATGATCCATAGTTAGCCAAGATTGAGAAAGAATGTTGAATGCCACAAGATAGTATCCACACCTCCGTTGAAGAGCAAGTAGCAGTGTTACTTAATGTTGTGGGTCATAAACAACGTTCCGGAGTGATTGACAACACGTCCGTGAGATCTAGTGTGGCAATTTCTCGGTGTTTCAAGCAAGTCATGTATGCGACCGGGAGCTCGGAGGAGAGATGATCAAGGAACCAACTAGGCAAACTCCTACGAATATTCACGCGAGGTCTGGATGGTATTCATATTTTGAGGTGAGCAATACTCTTAGTTCATGCCATGACATGCTTGTATTGTTGTGAGCAAGCCCTGATAGTTTTTTCATGCCATCGGCATTATATCGGCGCAATAGATGGTACTCATGTTACTACTAGAATGTCGAGGACACATGCTGCATCATACAGGGGTAGAAGCACTACATAGGTCAGAATGTGCTTGTTATTCTATTGATTTCGATCTTAAGTTAACATATGTGTTATCTGGCTGGGAAGGGTCGGTACACGATGACAACATTCTTGTTGGTGGCATGGCTCGATCTGATGGGAGCAACATCGCCGATTGTGAGTTCAACCTAAGAGATGATAGATATGCATGTTCTCCTGGTGTTCTTGTTGGGGAACGCGGTATTTCAAAAAAAATCCTACGATCACGCAAGATCTATCTAGGAGATGCATAACAACGAGAGGGGAGAGTGTGTCTACGTACCCTCGTAGACCGAAAGCGGAAGCGTTAAGTAATGTGGTTGATGTAGTCGAACATCTTCGCGATCCAACCGATCAAGTACCGAACGCACGAGACCTCCGCGATCTGCACATGTTCAGCTCGGTGACATCCCTCGAACTCTAGATCCAGCTGAGGCCGAGGGAGAGTTTCGTCAGCACGATGGCGTCTTGACGGTGATGATGAAATTACCGATGCAGGGCTTTGCCTAAGCACTACGACAATATGACTGAGGTGGAAATCTGTGGAGGGGGGCACCGCACACGGCTAAGAAATCAACTTGTGTGTCTATGGGGTGCCCCCTTCCCCCGTAT